TATAAAATATTCTTTTCTTACCTTATAAGAAGTCACGTTCACTACTAAGGGTTCGTCAGAGGGCGGATTGTTTCCAACTTTCCAAGCGGCCAAAATGAGACCATTTATCGATACATCGACAGGCATTATGTCAGCTTCTAGGGAAGCATCACAATGCATGGTCCTTATAACGCCTTTACCAGCACCTACGATTAATCCTGTGGGTCCATTCAAGTTGTCCACCCATCCCGGAATCGGCTCCTTCCATGCCGCAGTTACTAATTAAATTGTTACGATTATGAAAAGATATTGGATTGACAAATTGCTAAAGGCTGGTCAGAAAATGTTGTTCTAATTCGGGTCTAGTCTAAATCTAGCATCGAAGCTGGAAGGATCTTTGAAGAAGCTTGCCACTTATGCTAGCGAAACGTTAGGAAGTGACTCCAACAGACTCTTTGATTTAATTTGATTAATTGGGCTGTTTTAGAAATTATTTGTTATCTATTTGATTAAAAAAGCAACTGAAATTTAATTAATATAGAATCACACTTTTGCTTTGGTAAGCAATAAATTTTTAATAACGAGTATATTGCAAAGACAATTCACTTGTCGACTCATTTAAAGTTTTTCATTTTTTTAAGTAACTTCCCTTGTAGTGTAAAGTAAAGTACAATAAAGTGTGTTTAAAGGAGATTGGCGATGTTCCAAGGTTCGATAGCGCATTCCAAGTACAAAAGAAATAAAATTTTCAAAATACATTACATGGTGTTTCTAAACATGACGTTGCTTTTTAACTATTGTAAAAAATATGTGGAAAGCCTTCTTTTAGAAATTGTAAGATTGGATGGGAGACACGGATGAAGTGGACGAAATTAAAACAAAACAGAAAAATTATTTGTTAAATATTAGCATTTTCTTAAATTATCCGAGCAAACCATATAAAAACTTGGACGAGGTTAGACAGACCCCAAATCGAATCAGTATCCTCCCAAATACTAAGGTTATCGATATGATTTAGAACGCCAAATCACACCACTTGGTTTACAATTTACATAGAATACGTAAATAGAGAAGTGATAATTCTATAGTTATAAGTATTGAGTCTAAGATTCTGGTAACACGTCACCTTCTATTTTCTTCAACTTACCAATCGATGGTCTCGCGATTGCAATCGGTAATTGTGAAGAGTATTCTCCAACTAATTCTTCTGTTAAACATTTCGTATAAGCGTACGTATTTGGCGCATTTTTTAGTAAAGGACGGGTTAGAACGTCCAAAATGTCCTCGTCCATCCACTGAACCATATCTAACATTTTTCTGGAAGAAATTGAAACAATTAACTGTGTTTTGGCCTTTTCAGTTTTCCGTCCCGATGAGTAGTTATCGAGTAATCATTCATCATCATTTCCTTAAAACTTGAACAACCCACATCCTTAACTATTTACAAACAGTAACCTAATCTAGGTCTACCTCTACTCCTAACTCCCGTTTCTGCCTCTAATATGTCTCTGACTAGACCTTTATGCCTAAGAAGTTGTCCTACCAACCTATCTCGCCTATTTCTTATTGATTTCCATAGAGTTCACTGCTCTCTTATTCTTTCTAATACCTCTTCATTTCTAACCTTCTCTATCCACGTTATCCTTATCATTCGCTTGTAACACTACATTTCAAACGCTTCTAATCTTTTCCCTTCTACTGAGCCCACTGTCCATGTTTCGCACCCGTACAGCGCCGCGTTCCAAACATACACCTTTAACAATCCTTTTCGAATTTCTAAATTAACATTTTGCAAGCATAGAAGTGACTTCTTTTTATTGAAGGCGACTCGACCCTGCGCTATCCTCTGCTTTATATCCCTACTACTCCTTCCGTCCTGACTTATCTGACTCCACTTCTTCTAGTTTTTCGTCTCCTATCTTTATATTCGCCCTTTCCCTACTTTTTCTTCCCTTGCATATCAGTATTTTAGTTTTACTTTTATTTATTTTAACACAATACTATTTTGTCAATACCGCTTCCATTTTATCTAAAGCTATCTCTAACTCCTCCTTGCTAGATGCTAATAAAATCAGTATTAATGATGAGCAAAGCAAGATTAAGACCAATACTGTCCAAGTGTTGGTATTGGTCTTGATTTTACTTATTCAGTTTTGGTTTTGGTCTTTCTCAAATAATTCTAGTCTTGGCTTTGGTTTTGCTGGTATAGTCTCGGTTTTGGTCTTGGTGATGGTCATGGTTATGGTCTTGTTAGTATAAAGACAGTCTTGGTCTTAGTCTTGGTCTTGGTCTTCCATTTTCACAAAACCAAAACTGCTCATTTTGCTCATCACTAATCAGTACTGTTCTTTTATCTCATAATTTTCCCACATTTCATTTAATGCCATATTAAATCCAAATTTACTTACAAAGGTTTTCCTCTCGTGAGTGTAAGTAAAAAGTCAATCAGATACGCCGGTACAAGATGCAGGAAAAATACAGCCAACATATGAAGAAAGTAACTGGATTTTATACTTCCTCCAGGATACCATAGACACACGCTGAATGGATTGTTGTAGAAATGCTTACGTCCTAAATCTAGAGCTTCACCCCATGTGATAGGATTATCCTTTAACCAAAATATCTTGTTTAAAAAATTAAATCGAAAAAGGGTGGTTTTGTCAAGGGTAAAAGAAACGTTCAACAGCTCCTTAAGACCCCTAACAAGTTATAATTAAAAGGAAAAATATTATCTGAAAACTTTTACAACCGATAATTCTATCCGGAGAGAAAGTGTAACATTAATTAGTACACTTAAACAAGGAATATGTTAAAAATGTAATATTAATTAGTGTTTTTTTTTATAAAATATTCTTTTCTTACCTTATAAGAAGTCACGTTCACTACTAAGGGTTCGTCAGAGGGCGGATTGTTTCCAACTTTCCAAGCGGCCAAAATGAGACCATTTATCGATACATCGACAGGCATTATGTCAGCTTCTAGGGAAGCATCACAATGCATGGTCCTTATAACGCCTTTACCAGCACCTACGATTAATCCTGTGGGTCCATTCAAGTTGTCCACCCATCCCGGAATCGGCTCCTTCCATGCCGCAGTTACTAATTAAATTGTTACGATTATGAAAAGATATTGGATTGACAAATTGCTAAAGGCTTTCGTGGTCAGAAAATGTTGTCCTAATTTGGGTCTAGTCTAAATCTAGCATCGAAGCTGGAAGGATCTTTGAAGAAGCTTGCCACTTATGCTAGCGAAACGTTAGGAAGTGACTCCAACAGACTCTTTGATTTAATTTGATTAATTGGGCTGTTTTAGAAATTATTTGTTATCTATTTGATTAAAAAAGCAACTGAAATTTAATTAATATAGAATCACACTTTTGCTTTGGTAAGCAATAAATTTTTAATAACGAGTATATTGCAAAGACACTTCACTTGTCGACTCATTTAAAGTTTTTCTTTTTAGTAACTTCCCTTGTAGTGGTAAAGTACAACAAAGTGTGTTTAAAGGAGATTGGCGATGTTCCAAGGTTCGATAGCGCATTCCAAACACAAAAGAAATAAAATTTTCAAAATACATTACATGGTGTTTCTAAACATGACGTTGCTTTTTAACTATTGTAAAAAATATGTGGAAAGCCTTCTTTTAGAAATTGTAAGATTGGATGGGAGACACGGATGAAGTGGACGAAATTAAAACAAAACAGAAAAATTATTTGTTAAATATTAGCATTTTCTTAAATTATCCGAGCAAACCATATAAAAACTTGGACGAGGTTAGACAGACCCCAAATCGAATCAGTATCCTCCCAAATACTAAGGTTATCGATATGATTTAGAACGCCAAATCACACCACTTGGTTTACAATTTACATAGAATACGTAAATAGAGAAGTGATAATTCTATAGTTATAAGTATTGAGTCTAAGATTCTGGTAACACGTCACCTTCTATTTTCTTCAACTTACCAATCGATGGTCTCGCGATTGCAATCGGTAATTGTGAAGAGTATTCTCCAACTAATTCTTCTGTTAAACATTTCGTATAAGCGTACGTATTTGGCGCATTTTTTAGTAAAGGACGGGTTAGAACGTCCAAAATGTCCTCGTCCATCCACTGAACCATATCTAACATTTTTCTGGAAGAAATTGAAACAATTAACTGTGTTTTGGCCTTTTCAGTTTTCCGTCCCGATGAGTAGTTATCGAGTAATCATTCATCATCATTTCCTTAAAACTTGAACAACCCACATCCTTAACTATTTACAAACAGTAACCTAATCTAGGTCTACCTCTACTCCTAACTCCCGTTTCTGCCTCTAATATGTCTCTGACTAGACCTTTATGCCTAAGAAGTTGTCCTACCAACCTATCTCGCCTATTTCTTATTGATTTCCATAGAGTTCACTGCTCTCTTATTCTTTCTAATACCTCTTCATTTCTAACCTTCTCTATCCACGTTATCCTTATCATTCGCTTGTAACACTACATTTCAAACGCTTCTAATCTTTTCCCTTCTACTGAGCCCACTGTCCATGTTTCGCACCCGTACAGCGCCGCGTTCCAAACATACACCTTTAACAATCCTTTTCGAATTTCTAAATTAACATTTTGCAAGCATAGAAGTGACTTCTTTTTATTGAAGGCGACTCGACCCTGCGCTATCCTCTGCTTTATATCCCTACTACTCCTTCCGTCCTGACTTATCTGACTCCACTTCTTCTAGTTTTTCGTCTCCTATCTTTATATTCGCCCTTTCCCTACTTTTTCTTCCCTTGCATATCAGTATTTTAGTTTTACTTTTATTTATTTTAACACAATACTATTTTGTCAATACCGCTTCCATTTTATCTAAAGCTATCTCTAACTCCTCCTTGCTAGATGCTAATAAAATCAGTATTAATGATGAGCAAAGCAAGATTAAGACCAATACTGTCCAAGTGTTGGTATTGGTCTTGATTTTACTTATTCAGTTTTGGTTTTGGTCTTTCTCAAATAATTCTAGTCTTGGCTTTGGTTTTGCTGGTATAGTCTCGGTTTTGGTCTTGGTGATGGTCATGGTTATGGTCTTGTTAGTATAAAGACAGTCTTGGTTTTAGTCTTGGTCTTGGTCTTCCATTTTCACAAAACCAAAACTGCTCATTTTGCTCATCACTAATCAGTACTGTTCTAACTACCTTTGGTAGTTACGTTTACTTGTAGTACTGTTTTGATTGCTGATTACTCGTCAGTTACACATCAGATCGGAAAATTTAATGGGAAATGTCTTCTTTCTTCTTTCCCTAGTCTCTTTTGTATTCATATAATTTACCTTGGACTTTGAGGCGATTTGTACATTTTTTCTTCTAAAATCGTAAGATCGCAGTGGCAATAGGAAGTGGACACGTGAACAAATGCTTTCAATTTTTTAATTGTCAGCGCCAAGTCTAGCATTCTCTTTGTACCTCCTGTGTTCATGAGGAGGGCTTCTTTTAATTTTTGGTCAAAACGAACGTTGGCAGCCATGTGAAACACTACAGTTACATTGTTTTGAACTACATGCAAATCGTGGCTGGAGAGTTTCAAATTTTCTTGTGTTACATCCCCGCAAATGCACTGCAGTTTATTTATTAGATGTTGTCCCTTTGCTGAATATCGTATGTTGTCGAAAACCTAAGAAAAATATAATCAAAATATATTCCAATCACGCATGAAACAAGCAATAAGCTGATATTGTTATTTTATGAACTTAGAGTGGACAAAAAGTCAAACGTTTCATTATTCTGTTCTTATTTTTGATAAAAGACGAAGGTATTTCGATCGCTATTAAAAAAAATCGGTTGTCTGTAAAGTCGGTTTACTGACGATAATTGAACGTGACAACGTCATAAGAAAATACTGATGGAATGGTTTCATTTTTCAAAAGAAAATTTTAATTTTATTTGTTTGATAAATATTTTGTATGGATATAGAGAAGGAGGTAAATGGAAATGTATTATTGTATAGCAGCTGTCCACGCGGACGCATCGCTTACTCAAGTAGGAGAGAGACAGATGTCGAACGCTGCCGAACGCGGAGGCCGATTGTGCCTCTTTGTCGCTCGTTCCGCGCTCTCGCTTGCACTTCAAGCCTTAAATGGAACGCCTCAGAGCGGGGTAACGCCGCATGAGTCATGTTTTTTCGTGCGTGCAGCCGGCTCCATCGAATTATAAGACGTTGTCACGTCAAAAAAGTAATGCTACTTATGTGGGACTGCTCAAACAGGTTGTCTTTTTTATTGTTTACACCCATTTCGAAATATTGACCTCGAAGGCAGGTAAGGAGGACGTTGTTTCCATTTGGGGATTTAGGTGTTTACTTTGGGTTCATTATAGGACACCCTAGGTGATACAGTCGCAAAGGAATCTTCTCTTAACAATCCGAAAATTAAACCTTAACTCTCACTAACTATGATCCAGACGAAGGCAGGGAGCCGTCCGTCGGATGTCCGTCAAAATATTATTCAGTTCGTTGGTAATCAGCACAAGGGTATCATTAAATTGATATTTAAACAATCTAAAGTACTAATCATCTAATAATTCCTTGTTCAACGTGAAAAATTTCTCATCGTTTTCTGTGTACCCATTTTCTTGATCGTTGTGCTTTTACTTTTTAGGGTTCAGTATGAAAAACGGAACCCTTCAGGATCACTCGTGTGTCTGTCTGTCCGTTTTTTCCTTTTCTTCACCATCTCATCTTATTCTTCAACTAAAAGAGCAGTAACTGCTAAATTAGCCAGCGAATAATCTTTAAACACACAACAACGACGAAAACGTCCAAATTTTTCGATAGACTGATTGTCAGCTGTTGTATGACGGACATTTGACGGACGGTTGCCTGCCGCCGTTTAGACGCATAGTGTGAATCAACCTTAATGCGTACTTTTCCTTGCTTCTTTCAGTTTATATTGATATAGAGTTTGCACCATTATTTTAGAAAATATTTTTCAGTTTTGTATTTTTAATTTATAACTGCAGACTCATAAAAAATAGTCAATTAAATTTAAATGTAAATTTTTAGCATTGGTGTTACATGATATAACGATTAAAACAATAATTTTTAACTGGGCTGCACTCCTCCTTCTTTTAATTTTATCTAAGTATGTAGCAGTAATTTATAACACGAATTAAAATAGATTATGTAAACCATCAGTCAATTAATTAACCCTGAATAAATTAGTTGTACTGTTTTGATTTTTTATTTTGCAATCAGCAATTTGTTGCGATTTAACGAGTTATCTTATTAGTGAAGGCATGATATCTGACAAAAAGTAAAGCAGAAGATATGAAAGATAATTATAATTGCAAATTCTGAGCAATGATTAACACTTCCTTCTTCAAGTGTCTTGAAGCTAATCAGAACATAATCGTGATGAATTATTTAAATAATAATTAGCGCACCGTTTTATTTTAAACCTTTATGATATACAGAAGCTTAAGTAGAACAATTGGAAGGTTTCAGAGTCCAGTAACTTCTTGTTGATTTATTACTAATTTTACGTGACTATCAAAAGTTCTTTTTTTTTTTAGTTCAAAAGCATATTGAAATATCCTGATATAAAAAAGGATTTCCATACCTAATCAGTTGTTGACCTTATACATATAAGGACATTAAAGGAAACTGGTTACGTCATTATTAAAATTAATCTAAATGTGAATATTCATTTAGATTATAGAGCGATTCGTAAAGTCATAGAAGTGTCTACCTAATTGGTTTCACCTTGTTGATGTCAGTTTATATTTATAATTAAGGTGAAAACTCTTGTACCTAACTCATAAAATCCCTCGCACTTGAATATATAATGCAGAAAAATGCAGTAGTATAGGTCAAAAGAAACTTCAATTCTAGTTCTCCTTTTCTAAATTGCTGCTTATTATTTATTACTCGTATGTGGCAGTAAGTAAGTAGTAATTGCTGTAGTGTATTGAACAGGATGCAATTTAAAAGGAAATGTAAACATTATACAGGAATGGTTACATGTTATTTTAACTTTTAAATAATTTACTACACTTCGAGAACTATCAGAATTCAAAATTTCAAAAAGTTTAACAGAAGACTAAGGATTAAAATGAGAATGGGTGTTCGATGGACCTCATTTTTTTTTAAATGAATTTTAAATAATAAAGTAGTATCTGCGTGTTGTTGTTGACGTATTAATGTATAAGATTTCAAAAGTCCTTGAGACAATAACTTACAGGAGAATTTACAAAATCTTCCAGTCTTTGTGAAGGATCTCTTCCCCGTTTTCCTCTTACTAGGAGGTAAATTTTTGAAAGGTTTGGACAACACCTGAGAAGCTTTTCCACAAGGACTTTGCCCATAAACCCGGTCGCTCCTGATATCAAAATCTCTTGACCACTGTACCATTCTGCTACACTAGGACTTTGACAATTTTCGACTTCCATGGTGAATTATTTTCTGAAGCAAAAAAAATGTAGTTAATTATTTGCTATTATGATATAAATTGAGAAAAATAACGAAAAATTAGTGTTTAAAAAAAGAAAACAGGAGTATAACGATCTATATCAGGCAAACAGGTAGAAGTTTAAGGAAGAGGTTTTATGAACACAAAATGTTGCATTTATCGTTACAGACTGTACAAGATCTAGCCATTTCATCAATTTTGATGACTGTAAATTATAGATAAATAAGAGGTATTAGTGTCTATTAAATTAATCACAGAGACAATGAAAATTAGTAATTGTGAGTTTACTGTAGGGTACAACAGTCATTAATATAATTCATTTTTCAATTGTTTAATAATGTTCCAATTAGATATCAAAAGTATCATATCAATAATTTGAACCTTTTCAATTTAATAAATTCTTTTTTTTTGGTATTTTGGTTACCAAAACAATCCAAACAAACAAACAATCCAAACAAATACAAATTCTAAGCATTTTTTCTATTTTAAATCAGTTTAATACAACGTGTAATTATCGATTAAAATTTTATAGTATTTACGATTACGAGAAATAATTAACATACTATTTTGCTTGTATATTTCCCAGTGATTCATAGATCTTGGGGAATTTACCAAGCAAGAGGCGTTTTAATAAAATTACAAATCGATCTGGAAGATATTAATCTGCAATAAATAACATAAATATACATATGTCAATATTGAGTTGTTATTTACATTATACGTTACTCAATATTTTCGAATAAGATGTATGTAGTAAACACCAAACAAGGTTGATACATTTGAAGGTCCTAGGTCAAAAGGAGATTCGTTAGGTAATAATTACATCACAAGGGTTCATCAATTTTTATCTATCCGGAAAGAAAGTTTAACATTAATTAGTACCCTTAAACAAGGAATATGTTAAAAATGTAATATTAATTAGTGTTTTTTTTTATAAAATATTCTTTTCTTACCTTATAAGAAGTCACGTTCACTACTAAGGGTTCGTCAGAGGGCGGATTGTTTCCAACTTTCCAAGCGGCCAAAATGAGACCATTTATCGATACATCGACAGGCATTATGTCAGCTTCTAGGGAAGCANGACACCAGCCGCCATTTTGGTAATTTCTTGACGTCATGTGCAGTAAGTATCGAAAACACCGACAAAAAATCAAATGTTAAGTGAAATCGTAATGGTACGCAAAGATGTTTAATTTTTAGAGATGAAAAGATAATATATACAACAGCAATGGTAGAAAATGTAGTTTCGAATTGTTAATTTCTATGGAAAATAAAATCTAGATTTTGGATTTCTTGTGAATCATTTTTACTAGTAAAATAATAAAAATACTAAAACGTTTTGATGTGATTTTATCTGGTGTTTCAGGTTACCGTACCTATATATCTAAAATGCTACGTGCTGTGCTAAATTAAGGATAAAGACACACGAGCACATTCATGAAAATTGTAAACGACGCAAATTCAGTAACAACCCCTTTAAAATCGATATTCTACGCACAAATACTTATGTAAAGCTGTTTGTCCCTTTGAATTCCCCATTGGCAATAACCTTCATCACCCTACCTCCACACTCGCACGAAAACGTTCAAATGAGGTCTCTTGTTTTCGCGGTTTTAATAAATAGATACGGGATGGCTTCACTACAGGCTAATGTCCGATTAAAATTTTTAAGAATTTGTAATTATCTGTAAGTTAACTCAAAAAGTTTTTAGTTGACCCATGAAGTAGTGAATATTCCATCGAGCTTTGTAACCAACAAGTCGCTTGTATTCTGCAAAAATGTATGGAAGTGTATTAACTTTTGGGATGAAAAATGATAATTAGGGAAGCAGAAGAAAAGCTGCGGAAGTTTTATGATGGGAAAAATACCGATTAGAAACCCTGCTCCATCGTTTGTAATAGTTCAAAACTGATTTATTGGATTTGGATGTGGTTGTGGAATCGGAAAATATGTTGAGTCTCCTGGAGGCCCAATTGTGGTCACTCTTCATGGGAGGGTCAATAAAATCAATGATATTATACCAGAAGACCGTCGATCTAAGATACGCGAAATAGTTATGGTTTTGATGTCAAATATCTCTGAAGAACAAGCATCTGGGAATGAAACTATATATTTAGAAAGCCAAAGGCGTTTATTTAATGTTATAATTCTAACCAGTCAGTTATAAAGCCGACCCTGATCTTTCGCTTACTATCATTCGGTTATCTCTTGTACCACTCATGAAGCATTTGCTAACTTAACAAGGGCGTGTTCAAAACGCAGTAAATGACTACAGTCCCAAGTGGAAACAAGAAAGAAAAGTCCCGACTATAATGGGTTTTTTCACCGACACAACTGTGGATTAAATATGGATATAGTAAGATACATTGGTGCAATTCTGATAGGAATTGCTTTCGCATCTACCCTACTCTCCTCATTTGGCGCCTATCGATTTCATTATATTTCCAAACGTAAAAAAACGGTTCGGTGGAAAGAAAATTATCCAATGAGATTTTTGCTGAAACTGACCCCTAATTCTCGAAGCAGGTACAAAGAGACATATTTTCAGGGAGGATTAAAGAATACACAAATTAGAATATCTTGGGGCTGAGTGTATTGAGTTGAAGTGAGATTATGCTTAAAAATAAAATAAATGTACTTATCCTTTTTAATAATATCTGATAATTATTATTATAAAGAACCTTTTTTTTGGTATGCGTCATTTTACTGTAAGTTTGAATTTAAAGATGTCTTTTAATTGTATCGAAAATGATATCGATGAAATTTAGAAAGTTATCTATCTATTAACATTTAAAATTGATTGCATGTATCTTTGCTTAAATGCCCTATCAGTCAATTACATTCGTGTTATTTATTAATTGATTTTCTAATTATGAGTCATTAGACCAATGAAGTAAATGTGTAAAATTTATAATGTCAAATAATCTCAAAATTACGTAAAGATATATCTTGTATTTTCAACCATTTTGTTCATATTTCGGTGACAGAAAGAAAATAAGCAAATAATTAAATAGGTAGTTAATTGTAATTTGATGGACATTATAAACTTATTATTAACTTTATAGATAAATAAGA